GTTCAGTCGCAATGACTCACTTATTAACAGTGACTTGCTGCCACCTACTGTCGGTTTTAATTTCACATTTAAAGTATCTTTTCATTTTTTAAATCATTTCAAATATCAGTATTTAATTTTTTTATGTTTAATATATCAAATTATTTATGCATTTGTAACCGCAGGTTAAATGCATTAAACAGTGTGTAAATACTTCTAAATGCCAATTCAGGTGCAGCTTATGTCTGGATTGCAAAGAGGAATTTTGTTGATACTGATTTAATTTGCTTGGTAACAGCCCAAATGTCTTATTATTCTTATTCACTGATTAAATGTAAGAATTTGACTCAAAAGATAATGCACACTTATAGAAAAAATGGCTTTATAAAGGTAAAATGCCCATAAAAGGTAAAAAAATCTATTTAAACCTATCTGACCACCACACAGAATATGAAGAATATCAAAAACTTTAGGAGTCAGCTGTCCACGAAAGTCCTTAAGATACCAGCATGATAACACACTCAATCAGTTAAATTGAATGACTCGATGACTCACTCATTAAGTGACTAACCGCCACTTACTGGTAAGTTTAGTTGAGAAGTATGTTGAAAAGTATGAATTTTCCCCCTCAACATTTCTTATTTGTATACTCATAAATGCATCTAAAACATTAATCTCATAACATTATTTATTGCAGTTGTAATTATTGTTAGGGCATAGAGGAGAAACAATAATGTACAGTATGTGGAAAATAATGTGTTTTTTTTACTTTAAACCGCATAAACACATTTCATTACACCAAATACACAAAATAATGTTCTTTTTAGCAGCATCATATGACCCCTTTAAAAAGTCTTAAATTTAACTTGTTCATGTCTGTAGAAACCCTTATATATTACATTAGTTTGTTCTGTGTTTTTCTACAACAGCCCTGCATCTGTGTGAGACAGCATGGGTACGTAATAGTGATTGTGTCAAAAAAAAACAGTACAGAAAAAAACAGACAGTACATCAGTATAAACATTTATTATAACAATAATCATGATTACTGACTTGTGTCATGTTTTTTTTTTTAATGGTAAGTTCTTACCAGTGTTTCCTCTATGCAGCAGAAGAAATAATATGGCGCGAACAGGACACACGCAAAAAAATGAGTTGGGAAAACTATTTGATTGAATTCTAGCAAATGCGAAATAATTGCAATGCTCGGACAAAGCGCTATAGAATTAGAACCGGTGAATGCGATTTACAGGTTTCATGGAAAGAGAATTATGTGCGCCAAACGAGTTGCTGTAGAAAGCGAATACTTTAATGGTTGTGCAATGAAAAATAAAACGTCATATTTGAAAGAAGAGTGGCTTGGAAATAGCGGATGATGAGCACAGAACGGTAACAAAACTCCCAGACATGTACAGTTACACACAGGTGTAGTAGTGTGCAAACTAAAAGAATTCACGTTTTTTTTTAAATATTTAGCTTACAGATCTCAGTTTAAAAGTTTCAGTTTGTTTTCTATTAAATTCTATCAGTTTAAATGCTTGTTTGGTTTTATATTATATTATATTAGCCTATATTGTATTATATTATATTATATTATTATAAACCTAATAAATAATTGACCTCAAAAAGGGAATTCATGGACAATAGCTGCTTCATTTTGTTCATATTATATTATTAGCATATGTTATAAAAAAAATTGAACTGTTCTGCGTAAGAGATTTTTAATAGAATTTCTTGGTAACACAGCACTGTAAAAATGTTTTCTCAGGTAACCTAAAATGTGCATCATTTAGTTACATCAAGGGTCAAATGAAATATAAATCGCACACTGAAGTTAAAAAATGTTTGTATGTGCGCTGTACAGGTCTGGTATAAAGAATGTTTTTGCTATTATAAAACAATTGTGAATACTATGTTGTATATATTTGTTAACTGAGGCAGTCCGGGTTTTTTTTTTTTTTTGTCTGTGTGTGTGGGTGTAAATATGTGTATTTTGTTATCTTATGTTGGTTACTGTTTTTTGTTTATAAAATATATATATAAAAAAAAAAAGAATGTTTTTGCTCAGGTGGCCGAAATGTCCGCCCAACAGAGAAAAGTGTATTAGAAAAATTAGAGGGAACATTATTGGTTCTGATTTCTTTCTCAGGTAACCTAAAATGTGCATCATTTAGTTACATCAAGGGTCAAATGAAATATAAATCGCACACTGAAGTTAAAAAATGTTTGTATGTGCGCTGTACAGGTCTGGTATAAAGAATGTTTTTGCTATTATAAAACAATTGTGAATACTATGTTGTATATATTTGTTAACTGAGGCAGTCCGGGTTTTTTTTTTTTTTTGTCTGTGTGTGTGGGTGTAAATATGTGTATTTTGTTATCTTATGTTGGTTACTGTTTTTTGTTTATAAAATATATATATAAAAAAAAAAAGAATGTTTTTGCTCAGGTGGCCGAAATGTCCGCCCAACAGAGAAAAGTGTATTAGAAAAATTAGAGGGAACATTATTGGTTCTGATTTCTTTACATAAATAAAATGCATTCACAATGGATACATTTACACAGTCGGGATTGGTAAACATTTAAGTGAAGTAACAAGTAGTCAATAAATACTTTGTATTGCATCTTTAAGGATTAGGGCTTTTCAGTGCGCTTAACCCCGGGGTTTAGCGTCTGAGGCGTCTCAAAAATGTCAAAGGGTAAAAACGCGTAAGTGAAAAAATAAAGAAGAGCCTGTTTCATTCTTACATTGCTTGACAGCAAGTCTGAAATAAAAAGTATGAGGATGCGCAATGCTAGAGTCGTTATGTAAACAGGTCAGTTGCTGCATCTGTCCAATCAATGACACGGACACCGCAAATATGCAAATAAGAATATTAACCCAGGGTTTCGGAATGTACATCCGTTTCTTTTATTATCCCCGGGTTAATTATAATGAACAGTGTGAAATGTGAAGCAAGAAGCCAGGATTGCGTTTACCAGGGTGTTTAGAATGACCGAGGGTTAAATAGTTCAAGCCCTAGAGAGTTCCAGAATCCTCTCTTTGTGTTCTTTTGGTTCTGACCTCAGTGTAAGTACAGAAGTCTGAATTCTGCAGTGTCTTTTTCTTCAGCATGGAAAGTGTGTTCAATGAGGCGTAGCACACTTCATCTTCACTCTGTGAAAAAACAGTAGGCCTATTTTGTTATTGTACTTAATATCAGTATACAAAATACAAACTGTAGAATGTTTGATGAGACAAAATAAATGTTATACTGGGATGCCAGGATGTGCACATGTGATGCAGTACCTGGTAATATCTGTTCTCAGTCTGTGTTGCTGCAGCAACTATAATTAAAATAGCTTAATTCAGATGAAATAAAACATTTTAAAATGCATTTCATTGTTCACAAACCTCTAAAATTGTGATATTTTATACTGTTCATTTTGTGATATGATGATAATGTAAAGCAAATCTTGCGGTATCAGAATGATCGAAGCTGCTGTCTGGTACATCATAACTCTTGAGTTCAGGAGTGAATGATCACCTGTAGTTTTCCTCCGACAGAGGCAGAAAACACAGACGGAGAAGAGGAGAACACACACTGGACACACACTGACCAGCGGACTCCAGCAGAGGTCTGATACAGGAGGTGTGGAGGAGGTGTTGAACTGCTCAGCATGAGGAGACGCTGGCTCTAAATGGAACATAAGTGAAAGTAAGTACACATTTTTGTATAGACGTATTCTTAGTTTCATATATTTTAAAGGATGTGTTACTGTGTTCTGTGTTTCTATCTATCTATCTATCTATCTATCTATCACACACATCACTTGAAAAAAAATATGGGTATTTCCTTTTGTGAAAGTGTAGATAAATGTTTACAAACACTAGTGTGGTTTGTGTCCAAATTTTTGCTATTTTGCATTTTTTCCATTTCATGAAAAAACAATTCTTTAAAAAGTATATTATCAGCATAAAAATTTGACAAGGTTTTATCAAATATAGCCAACAGTTTCTTTACAGTTTACTAAAAGAAACAACTTAAACACCAGGATATTTTCTTACCCAAGAGAGATAGACGAGTCCTTCTGTTTCCATACTGGTACTCAGAGCCTACGATGCCGTGTACATCATGTACTTTTCTTTCTTTTATTACACAATAATACAGTCCCTCATCAGAGACACTGATATTTGTAATATGTAGATCATAGGAGTTACTGGAGCTGTTGAGCACGAAACTAAAACGTGGAAAAGTCCTCTGGAACAGGTTTTCAGCCTCTATGAACAGAGATGGTTGATGCTCATGTGAGCAGTTTCTCCACCAAAAAATGTGTGATCCTGATGGCATGACACAGTCAGAGTAGAGAGTGATGCTGTCTCCTGCTTTAACTCTCATGTCCACTTCTGCCCCAAAGACTCTCTGCTGTTCACAGAACAAAACACCTGCAAAAGCAAAAATACGTAGTATATGTAAGTTCATATATTTGAAAGAGGACTGTCAATAAAATCAAAAGAACGCAACAAGAAAAAAAACACTAAAATGGACTTACATACGAGCGCGATGACAATAACTATTGCTCGCTCCATCTCGGTGACTGATAAGATAAAAGCAAAGGGTCTTCAATGTAAACGTCGCCTGGCTGACTGTGGTGGGAGGGATTTCTGATAAAGGGCTTTGAAATGCTTAAAGGTCGGGGATTTTTTCCTTTTGCTTAGATTGTGGGTTTTATCAAATTCATTAGTATTTGAATTACATTATGTCTATCAGCTGGTTGTTAAACTCACACAAAGTTTCATTTCATAAAACTCTCAAAGTAAAATAGTCCAAAAATACACTTTCATTCTGATATAAAGTGATCTTTACAATTTTTAAAATGTATAAAATATGATATTGTTGTCAGCACATCACAGAAGATCATTTGTGCAACTCAGTTCATGTCTAACTGAAGCTGAATTGATATACTGTAGTGACAACATGTTGAGATTTAACTGTCATTATAAAAGCCCTTAGCAGAATTTCAGTGGTAACATTAAAGCAGGCCATAACAGGAAGCTTACTGTCACATCCTGTTATACCAGTCACTTTCTAAAGCTCTCTGAACTTTAGTGATAACTCTTTCTTCAGTGAAGATCAGAATGTTTGGCGTTGAACGTTGGCCTCTAAATGTCTGAATTAGTTGAATGTGATCATGTTTTGTATGTGTTTTTATGAGAATGTTTTTGCTTGTGAGGTGTATTGCTCTGCAGCCTGATGACATGTACAATTGCTTGTTTCCATAACCATAGCCTCTACCCACATATTCAGGTTTGTCATCTAAACAAAACCAGCTCTAAATGCACTAGTGCAGTGAAATTTGAAAGTTGTGGTTTTCCTGTTTCAGCATGAAACAATTGAACATGCTTACTTGAATTCTTAGTTTCAAAAAACAGTGTCTGCAGGTTAAAAATGTGGACCTCAAATATGCAATCGATTAGTCTGGTTTATAATAATAATAATGAAGTCAATACACACGTACATAAAATTAAACAGAAAAATTCTCAAAAAAAAAAAAACTAAACAAAACAGTAATAACCACTGGAAACATTTGTGGTTAAACATCAAATGATTTACCACTTTACAAGAACCTGCAGCACCAAATCATCAAAAGATACCGGAAAGCACCCTTTTTGATAACATCAAAAATGTCTAAAATTGGTAAGAAAAATGCAGAATCAAACTTTTGACTAAGAGCTTTCAGTGAGATTTATATTCAGTCTGGCAGAACTACTTAGATTAGCCAACAAAGTGGTTGCTCATTCAAAATAATGGCAGACAACAACTAAGAAATAAAAAATCTGAGTATATGTTGTGGTTAAAACTTCCACCTGGACACAAATAGGCCTACAGCTTTGTTTGTAAATATCTTGTTTATTTGCTGTTGCTTCACATCATATGTTTGAACCATTTTCAACCATATTCTTTATCTAAAATATTCACAGACATTGTCATTAATCGTGCAAATTTGGGCAAATCCAGACACTAACTTTGCCTCTGAAGTGTTAATTGTAGCAGCCTGGACATATTTTATGGCTATTTTCAAGGTGATTAAGAGCTGTAAACCCCTGACTGCTATAATGCACATTTCCAGCAAGGTTTAATCAACATTTTGATTAAAGGGATAGTTCACCCAAAAATGGAAATTTACTGAAAATGTACTCACGCTCAGGCCATCCAAGTTGTAGATGAGTTTGTTTCTTCATCGGAACAGATTTGGAGAAATGTAGCATTACTTCACTTGCTCATTAGTGGATCCTCTGCAGTGAATGGGTGCCGTCAGAATTAGAGTCCAAACAGTTGATAAAGCATCACAATAATCCACAAGTAATCCACGCCACTCCAGTCCATCAATTAACCTCTTGTGAAGTGAAAAGCTGTGTATTTGTAAGAAACAAATCAATCAAGGCACTTAAACTTAAAAACCGTTGCTTCTGACCAAAATACTCCACAATCCAGAGTCTAGAATTCATAATAACGCTCCTCCAGTGAATATGTCTATTCCCTTTTGTCCTCTCAGACCAAAACCTGCCAACATATTTGTTTAGAACTCTTTTGAACGGTCTTCACTTATAAATTGTGTTGGATCTGTGCACAGTTCTTTCCTGAGTCAGATAAGATGACTTATTCATTGGAGAAAGCGACATTATGGATAGACGACTCGTTTTAAGTTATAACATGTTTGTGATGGATTTGTTTATTACAAACACTGAGCTTTTTACTTTACAAGATGTTAATTGGTGGCCTGGAGTTTTGTGGATTATTGTGATGGTTTTATCAGCCGTTTGGACTCTCATTCTGACGGCACCCATTCACTGCAGAGTATCCACTGGTGAGCAAGTGATGTAATGCTACATTTCTCCAAATTGGTTCTGATTAAGAAACAAACTCATCTACATCTTGGATGGCCTGAGGGTGAGTAAATATTTAGCAAATTGTCATTTTTGGTTAAACTATTCCTTTAATATTATTTTTAAATCAAATTTATTTTTCATATTTTCACAAGAACATATTGAATGGAAAAGGGCAGGATCCCACAAAATATCTGAAATGGCATTAGGATAAATGTAATTTCAAGAAGAATAGTTCCCCAAGTCAAATCTATTTTTTTGAAAAAACAAATGTTGCTCAAAGTGGTGTACAATAAAATCAGACAGACACCACCAAAACAGACTTAACTGACTTAAAATGTGAAATACTTACACAAGCCATAAAAAAATCTAAGTTCAAGGTCAAAAACGTCAATAAACTACATTGAATAAAATAATTGTCAGTGTTTGATGCCCAATCAAACATATAATTAAATACAAATATCCTTCATCTAACTGCAACTTTTTAACTTTGGATGATGAGGACTAGCAAAAATGTAAACATTTTAATATAATCCTATTAGATTATTACCTAGCTCCATCTGTATTAACTAGCAATTAATTAAAGCTTCATTAGAATCAAATCCAATACATTGAAACACATTTATGAATAATAGGCTCATATTTTTATATACAATTTTTGCTAGTCCTGTTGTAAATACAGTATCTTAGGCAACCTTTAGTAGTCATTTGGATTTGTCTTCTTTTTTCCTGACATTTTGTGAAAACTTTAGTAAATCAAATAAATAGGTTGAGCATGTTGTGATTGTGTCTTCAATGCTACAATGATTTGTTAATATGCAAAAGTCTCAGTTCATCAGAGCAAAAACTCCACATGTCCATGTCATTGCAAATTATTTCAAATGATGAATAGATCCCACAATAAAGAAAGAAAAATGTGCAATTAATATCTCGGCAGCTTCACAGGACAGAACATCTTGCGTAATACAGTATCTCTGAATCCAAGTTGGAAAAGTGCAGTTCTGCTCCTTGTTTCACAAGATTGCATCCATTTAGCTGAGGGCCCTGCTTATCTAAGAAAAACCTTTTGCAAGAAAATCCAAGGTTACTCCATTCAGCATGTTTAGCTATGCTTATGTTCTAGTTTACAAGGCAGCTTTCCAAGCCAGTTTTATAAGAGACTTTGGTCTTTTAAAAGTGTCTGAATTCCTACTTGTTGTTGACCTTTATGAGTCTTTATATTTTTCTAAATCCTTTTTCTTTTTGAATATATTCTTGAGCTTTGAAGATGTCTTGCCCTTGTCTTTACCACCAAATTCTGAAGAAGACACATATACAGATTGACCTTCATTTCCGAGAAGGCTTTGGGAAGAACAAGACACTGAAGCCGCGTGACTGAGATCACCAGGACTAGGCATGAGAGGGTTCCCGTAGGACTTTTCTAGAATGCCGTCATACACTAGTGTGCTGAGCGAGTCTGAGGCTGATTTCCAGAGCATCAACGAGTAAACGGTTAGGTCAGGCGGGCCAAACTGTCCAGGGTTCGTAACCAGGAATTCTTCCTGCGATATCTTACACCTTGGAGCCTCCACAGATAGACCCACCATCTCTCTCTGTATTTTACCAATGGGAGTTTCCACAGAGCTGTCTATCTTGCGTTGTATTCGTTGCGTCTCCATTGCAATGTCTTGCTCATCTCGAGAGATTTTTTTTGAGGGAATTTCCCTGTTCTCTTTAAAGGATTTGCTTCTCTCAAACTCCTCTTTCAGTATGTTTTTTGAAGCCGTATCCATTGAAATATCTCTTATTTTCTGTCTTTCGAAATCCGTGGACACATCAAAATCATCTTGTGCCATCATTCGTGAAGGGATGTCTTTGGATGAATATGTTTTGCCTAACATTTTTAATTGTTTAGAGCTTTCCACTGAACTATCAAAGGTGGCATCAAAGGAGCTTTCCCTAAACACTCTTCCTCGCTGGATACTGGTTGGAAAATCCAGGTTTTCTTTGTGTTTAATGGAAGTGTTCATTAAGGCATCTGAATATCTTGTTCCACTTGTGGTGTCTATATTGAGCTCTGCTTTTGGTATCACTTTTGAAATGCTGTCCATATGGTCTTTTCTGTCTCTGAGTGATCGTTGTCTCTGACTATCCATGCTGATCGCTGCTGGACACATCTTTTCTGTAGAGTAGTACCTCATTGTGGAATCCAAAGGTAGATCCCTGGGGAATTTCCTTGAATCGATGCTAGCCTCAGTTTCTCCTCTACCCAATTGTTTAGGATGGTCCACAGTGGCCTCTAGTTCGTCTCTAGATGTCTTTCTTGATGGAGTATCAAGTTCATCTCGTGAAACTTTCCTTAAGGTGTTCACCAAAGATTCATCCATCTCCCCCTCGGAGATCTTGCGGGAGGGGCTGTCCTCTTGTTCATCCAGGGAGATCTTTCGGGGCATGTTGTCAGAGAAAATGTATTTTCTTCGAGGAGAAACATCAAGGGTGCTGTACATTCTGTTGATGGAGGACCCGATAGAATCTGTATCTGAAGATGTTTCCATAGACTCCCTGTCAGAAAGAGGGACACTCAGCAAATGTTCATACAGAGAAGATATTCATAAATTAACATTAACCTGGATTAATAATTGCTGTAAAACTTGTTTATTGTTAGTTGATAATACCTAATGCATTAGCTAATGTTAATGAATTGAACCTTATTGTAAAGTACCAGTATTTTTAAGAATCTTTGAGCTGCACTTTTCGATGCAATGCAAAATCAAAGGACAAAATGTCTGGCTGACATACTGTCTCACAAGAGGGGAGAATTTGATATGCTCTTCTTCTTCTTCATCTCCATATCGGCGTACTGGAGTTCGTATGGGAATCAGGAGGTCTGGGTCAGGTGATACGATGACAGGTGATGGCACAATATGCCCAGATCGGCGAGAGCGTACCAGAGATCGTGGGGAACATTTCAGAGGTGCAACTGTTACTGAAAAGTATATGAATAATTAATGCCGGTTTTAATAATCGAACAGTTAAAATTATTTAAATGTGCTGCAATGTGTTGAAAACTTTTTTCTACCTGATGGAAAGCAGTAAAACAAAAGTAATTCTTACACATTTTGTTCATCAAAGATAATCTTTACAAATTAGCACAATTTTTATGAATTGTAAAGCCTGAATACAATTGGCAGAAGCAATAAGGCCATGTCCACACGTACACGGGTATTTTTATAAACGGAGTTTTTCCTTCTTCTGTTTTTAAAAAAAATCTCCATCCACATGAAAATGCAAACGCATGCTATGAAGCACTGTCAAGAGCATGCCAAACCAACAGGTGTTGTATAATCTCAACCGTAAAGCCATGTTGGCCAATCAGAAGCCTGAAAAAGTTTCCAGTAGGCGGAGATAACAGCGCAAGCGCTGACGTCACAAGCCAAAAACTCCGGTTTCGCTGTCTACACGATAACACTGCAACCAGTTTTTGAAAATCTTCATCCTGGCAGGTGTTTTCAAAAATGTGCGGTTTCAGTAAACTGGTGCTGCGTTTGCATGTGGATGAACGGCCAAACCGTGTAGAAAAAGCTGCAGTTTTAAAAATAACCGCGTTCGTGTGGACAGGCCATAAGTTATAAACTAAACTACACATGACTTCAATGTCACTACCACTAAGCTTCTGACAAATCTTTTAATCTTGATGAAAGTGAAAGTGACACGATGTGTGGCCAAGTATGGTGTCCCATTCTCTGAATTTATGCTCTGCATTTAACCCATACAAGTGCACACACGGGGAGCAGTTGGGGGTTCAGTGCCTTGCTCGAGGGTCTCACCTCAGTCGTGTTATTGAGGGTGGAAGAGAGTGCTGGTCATTCACTCCCACGAGACTCTAACCTGTGACCTTTGGGTTACAAGTCCAACTCTCTAACCATTAAGCCACGACTGCCCAGCAATTGATGATGGTTAATGTCCATGACAAACTCTCTAGGCTCATTTAGCCACTTGTTAGCAACCGGCTTTTTCAAGATGCCTAAAACCTTACAAGAAAACCCTGACTGGGGTATTACTATGCTATGTTGAAGAATAAAACTCGAAAACACCTCAAGCTTTTATCAGGCATTTTCAAACAACTATTGACTTCATGACAACAGAACCACAAGTGCATTTCTGGGTTTTGGGACTCATTCCTGCAGCCAGATGAGTAATGCACCTTTTTTAATCAGTCAGAAAACTCTCACAGCTTTTCACAGTTTTTAATGATCTGAATGGTTGACATATTTATATATATAAAACAGAAAAAAGAAACTGTAATAAACTAAGAAAGAAAAAACACAAGTACCAACCAGGAATCTGAGGTATAATCTGCGGCATTTCTTCTTCCATGTCCTCCACCGAAACAGGCATTTGATAGGACTGAATTGCAGCCCGGGGCATTAGCATCCAGTTGGGGTCTGGGTAGAGTGAAGCAGTGAGACTGGGTAGGCCTGCATTTTTCATCACAGGAAAACCACACAAGCTCTCAATCTGCTGCCACCGGTGCAGACGCTCCCGTAGACAAGCAGTCACCTCTGCTAGTGCATTCCTTGACAAAATACATGCAGGTCAATGTAAGCCCATACTAAGTGTACTTATGCTTCGAACATTCCCTTTTGAAATATGAAACTTAGCATAGATACACTAGCTCCCCAAAATTTTTTGGGCAAACATTGACAATTTTATAAACTTCATTGCATTATTTTTTTCAGAATGGCTTAAGTTTTAAATGCAATAAAACTAATTACTTGGCCTCCAGAATTCTCTGATCCACTTGATCCAATGAGGAGCTGTGAGCAACATATAGTGTACCCAACAAAGAACTCCTTTTTTTCTTGATCTTCTCAGCCTGTGCAAAAACACAGAGTGAATAAATAAATATAGATTGTAAATATTAAAGGAATAGTTTACAAAAAAAATTAAATTTGCTGAGAATTTACTCACCCTCAGGCCATCCAAGATGTAGATGAGTTTGTTTCTTCTGCAGACGATATATTGGTGAGCGAGTGATGTAATGCTAAATTTCTCCAAATCTGCTCCGATGAAGAAACAAACTCATCTACAGCTTGGATGGCCTGTGGGTAAGTAAATCTTCAGCAAATTTTCATTTTGGGGTGAACAATTGCTTTAATTCCAAAGGCTAAACAACTGAAACCTGAAAATATGATTCAAACTGATCCCATGCATGGTAATACATTTGAGACTCGTTCATCTCTAAAATACCTCATCTTTAGCTGTAACGAGTTGTTGTACTGCACTATGCTTCTTGACGCTGTAGTACTGGACCTCCACCTCATGGGTGAGCTGTAGCCACAGCTGCAAAGTTTCAGGAACTGACCAGAAGGACTGCATGTCTTTTTCGGCCCTCTTCAATGCATCACGCACCTTTACGAGGAGCACAGAGAACCATGGGGTGAAGTGGAGTCTTGTTGGGAGATGTTTAACAGTGAGAAATGCAGATCCTAACCTGTCCGAGCTCTTCTTCTGCATACCAAAGACGGGTGAGTTCACTCACTGCTCCATCTCGGAGTTTGTGCAGGCGGTTGGCCTCTTCCTGAGCACCCTGAATCTCGTCCCTCATCTTTTCCTCTAGATTCTTCTTCTCTACCGCCACGGTGCGCTTCTCTTCCTGGGCCTTTTCCAACCTTTTCAAAACATACAAAATGCAGTGTTTGTGCTGTAAGATCCGGCAAAAAAATGCTCTCCAATGTCACTCTCTCTTGTACGTTATGTTGGAAAGTCTAATTTTAGTGAATTGATTCCTTATGATTTAAATGAAATGGTTTAAAAATGAATTATGTATTTAAAATAAATAATTATATTTTGATTTTGAATATTGTCCCATTTTTGTGCTGTTTAGTGTAAATGTAATGTTGATGGTTAATGAGGTTTCATAACTATTTTAGTGCCAGAATTATTTTTTTATAAAAAACACAATGTTTATTGAATAGTAAAAATATATTTGTGACATTTAAAAATTGTTAAAAGAAAAGAAAAAAAAAATATATATATATACTGTATATATACCATACACACACCACTGTTCAAAAGTTTAGGGTTGATAATATTTTTTTATGTTTTTTAAAGAACAATATATATAAGACCAATATAAGATAAGACCAGCATAAACTACTACTAGTCTGAATTATGAAAAATTATTAACTGTGGCTTGTTGAATCAAGTGTGAATCAAACAGCTTTATTCATTTTGGTGAATAATCGTATCATATGATTCAAATTAATGCTGAATGTGGAGGTTTGGAAATCTAGAAGAGGTACTCACTGCTCCTGTAAGTCTCTGAGGCTTTGTTCAGCTCTCTGCAAGCTTTCCAGGTCCTTCATCATCTTTGTAATATGTACCTTAGATACTTTATTCTGTACTTGTGCAAACCAGCATCCACCAACACCCATTACTACTGACACTATCAGAACCAGGTCTTTCATCCAGTTGTGTGGGGGTCCTGGAGCAAAGGGAATATTAGTCAGACAGCCAATAAATATATTATGTGACGTCTGTGTGTTTATTTTGCCTGCTGACTGGATATCTGCTGAATATATTTTACACTGTGTGAGAGTCATTCTACTGTGTGTTCTCAACAGGCGTGCGTGGATATTTGATTTCAAATGTGCTCAAATGTTACACATCAGTTAGAACTACAGGTGCATCTCAATAAATTAGAATGTCGTGGAAAAGTTCATTTATTTCAGTAATTCAACTCAAATTGTGAAACTCGTGTATTAAATAAATTCAATGCACACAGACTGAAGTAGTTTAAGTCTTTGGATCTTTTAATTGTGATGATTTTGGCTCACATTTAACAAAAACCCACCAACACTTAAACTACTACAGTCTGTGTGCATTGAATTTATTTAATACACGAGTTTCACAATTTGAGTTGAATTACTGAAATAAATGAACTTTTCCACGACATTCTCATTTATTGAGATGCACCTGTATATGTAATAATGACATTTAAAAAGCCACGACTATTTGATCAGAATTCATTATACTGTGGCTCCAGTCATTTAATGATCTGATTTACAATTGAAGCATATAGTGCACACAATTCAGTCAGTGGACTGATGCAAAAAGAAGATGCAAAATATTTAGGAGTTTTTTAGTGCAGCAATTTAACTTCATTTTATAATTAATAATTCATTTTCACAATTGCTTATGTTGATCAGAGACTGAAGTGTTCATATCCTGAGTGTATAACATAGAGTTTGGAAAATGGTTATTTAAAAATAATTAGCTAACATTTTATGTCAATATATGTAAAGTTGATACATACGTGTAGGTGGGCCAAACAGCACTACATCCAGAGCTTTGAGCTTGAGTTTTTGTTTGTGTTGCTGGTCCTGGATCTTCAGATAAGTGCTCATAAATGATGGCTCATTGGCAGCAATTCTGTAAATGCAAAACAAGAAACTATTAGCTATGTCATTTCATAAAGCTGTTTATTGTATTTAATCAATGCAATTAACTAAATGCATTATCATTCAAAAGTTTGGGGTCAGTAAGATTTGTTTTTAAAGAAATTAATATCTATCAGCAATGATGCATTAAATTGATTGAAAGTGACTGTAAAGACATTTATGTTACAAAAGATCTCTATTTTAAATAAATACTGTTCTTTTGAACTTTCTATTCATCAAAGAATCCTGAAAAAAAAAAAAAGGTTTCCACAAAAAAGCAGCACATCATTGATAATAACAACAAAAAAAAAATTATTGAGCTGCAAATCAGCATATTAGAATGATTTCTAAAGGATCATGTGACACTGAAGACTGGAGTAATGATGCTGAAAATTCAGCTTTGCATCACAGTAATAAATTACATTTTAATATGTGTTAAAACAGAAACAGTTAATTTAAATCATATGAATATTTCACTGCTTTTACTGTATTTTTCTCTCATAATTGCAGCCTGGGGGAGCATAAGAGACTTGTTTCTAAAACATCATACCGACCCCAAACTTTTGAACTGTAGTGTATGTTGAGTGCAATCACATTTACATTTACATTATAACATTTTTATTCTGTTCTCTGTGATTTCTGATGCTGTTATGACTATCTATATAATAGTATATTGTAACTAAAATGAATAGCACTGTAAATGTATATGCCTTTTATGGTTTAACTGTTGAGAATTGTTGAATTTTCATTCGGTTCAGTCTTGATTTGTCTCACCTGGGCAAGGTGTTCCCATTGACACGCAGCTCTTTGAAGCACTTTTCATATTGAGCCAACTCATCAAACTCTCTTAGCCACCTCAAGACATCCTCCTGAGTCCAGTTATGAACTGATAGAGGGAAAGAAAGCAGTGAAAGAACCAAAAGATGGGCAGAAAGTGACATTAAGAACATATTAAGACTCAATCATGGAGACTATCCTACCCTCAGAAGATTTCCAGCCTTTCCAAAGCTCCTCCAAAGTGATATGCTGGTCCTCGTGATGGAGTTTACTGTGCTTGTTTGCCTGTTGTTGCTGCTGCATATCTTCAATGATGAACTACAGTAAGAAGCACAGAAGAGATGCGGACGCATGAGAAATTGTTTGAAATTAACTTCAGACACCCAAGTCCTACAAATGCAGTGACACACACTTAAAACAACAGCTGAGTAAACATTCAAGATCGAAAGAGCTCAAGTGTGAAAGTGTTTTGGTATCTGTCTGCTGTAATCAGATGCACCATGTGATTCCAGGATTCTTCACTGCTTCGATCCATCTAAACCATATCTATAGCAACAAGGAAAAGAAACCCAATACCAGAGACACGGACGTACGTCAGGACATTACTTGGAAACTCATCCCCCTCTGCTATGTTCTCCCAGTGCCAAGCCTGAACGTTTTGTCTGAGGTGCTGGATGGAAACGTGTTTCTAAATAGACCAACAGGCTTGAGAAAGGGTGCTTTGGCATAACACTTCAGCTCTTACACAAACATCACACAGACATACAAAAATAGTTAAGCTGAGCTTGTTAGTCCTTAGACTTCACAAGTACTACTTTTGTGCTACTCTACCACTTGTTCAATTTAGCAGCAAAAAAAACAAACACTAAAGTGTAACTAAAGAGACAAGGATAATTAAGCACAGTCATGGAATAACTGAAAATATATTGAAGGAAATTTGACAAGTATGATTTCAAGTAGGGCTGCACAATTTCAAAAAATTACATATTGTGATTTTTCTGTCAAAATTATGATTTATTATATACTATACATATGTTATACTGTAACTGTTGAGAAGTGGTTTGTTTAGGGTAAGGGTGGGATTAGAGTCTCAAAATGATCTATATATATAATTTATATTTATAATACAAATAGAATGTAAAGGATTTTTATGGATTTCTAAAGTTTACATTTTAGAAGCTGTTGAAATTTCTATATTGTATGTTTCAATATTCACAGCAAAATTCCTGGCCTGCTGTGTTTGTTTTGGGGGCTTCACAATTTGGATGAAATTTTGTGATTATTTATCAGTTTGCCTATTAAATAATAATAATAATCTTGTTGTTGTTATTATTATTATTGCTGCTACTACTACTATTAAATAAAAACTGAAATAAGAAATATTACTCTATTTAATATTTCACTGTAAAATAATTTAAGTATTTAAGAAAAATAATATAATCATTTTATTTTACATTACAACTGTAAAATTGCAATACTAACATTTATGGCTGTCTTCATTTTCAAATGTTTAACATCATGCTTCACATTGAAACATGCAGCACATATATTTAGTTAATTGAATTGCAACCTTTGAAATAAACACACTAAGCCATAATCCAATTTTAGTCTATTTCGATTAATCATGCAGCCCCAGTTTCAAGGCTTTGAAAAGTAATTGAACATTCTATAAATTTTTACAGTTATTCTTAAATACATTTTCTAGTTATAAAATATTTAATCTGCTCTTTTTTTATCCATTTGACGGTTACATGAAAATGCATTGGTCAGGAGGTGTGGAAACCCTGCAGGATTCACATTAGGGTGTGAGGAAACTAATTTTCTGACTTGTGATTGTAACATCTGTGAACGTTGATTACCTCGACACTCTCCTCCACCTCAATGCCTCCATCCTGATCGTCATCCATCTCTCTGTGGATGTGCTGAAGAGCCTCCAGGCTGAAGCGGTCAGCCTCTGTCATACACGGAGGGCTCACTTGCAGACATGGATCTGTGATGAAAAGTGGACAGTTAAACATTTCACTACAGCAATTTCACCAAGAGGTGTCATGAGTGTGTGTGTGTAATTGTGTTATAATAAATGCATTAATAATACATTTTTACTACATACATTTTTCTAGTTTTCTAGTTATGATCAGCTACAAAATATTTAATCAACTGTTTTAACTACTCTTTTCTTATCCATTAGTCTGCAAATTGCATGGATCTTCAGAATGCCAAGAGTCATGCTGAGGTTTAGCAAATATAAACATTATACATATGAAAATTTCTGTATATTTGGTCGTGCACACGTGCCTGAGGTCACAGGTGTGTCCTTGTACAGTCCAGGGTGCTGCACTTCATCGCTGGAACAGATGCAGATGATGAGTCCGCGCAGCACCAGCAATACGGTGAGGCAGAACTTATGCATCGCAGGGTTCAAGTGCCACTTACTGTCTATGATTTAAAAAACACATGTGCATCCAAATGCAGCGTTACGTGATATTGATGCTATAAACAGCTCCAGCTCCAAGAAAAGGATTGGCGCGCCGGTTAGAAAAGCAACATATTGTGTAATGTTGTAGGAATTACACAAAAAATACATCACAAAAAAACGACAAACTGTTAGAAATGTTTGTTCGCAACCCCAAAGGATAAATCACAACATTTAAAAAGACAGATACATCCCAAAAAAATAAAAATAAATGAATGAATAAATAATAATAAAAAAAGGATTCCTTGTTACATCCCAAAGCAAAAGAGGAACAAAGTAAACAGAATAATAAACATGACTTTAGAAAACGTTTAACGAAAGAACTCTTCCACCTTCAAAACACTCAAAAGTCAAGTCAAAAATACTAATACGATGACAAAGAATAGAAGTCCTTCTGAAAGCCAGGTTTCTTATGAACGAAGATCCTCATGAAGCGATAGTACTTCTCTCTAGAAATGTTTGGATAATGCGTGTACACGAAAGTGTTCTAGTTACTAAATGTCACCAAACTTTGCGTGCGTCTGCACTTCCAACGCCAAAAACTGATTTACTAATCCGACTCATGAATATTAATTAGACTGCGTGCCGCTTGCCAAGTACACTGATTTGCTGAGAAGTAGACGTTGACGTGGGATATGAATATTAATTAGGTTACGTGATTGGATTGAACTTTAGTAAGAAATGTCAGTATTAACAAATCAAAATTAATTAAACAATAAAATATTAAATAACGGGTAAATGACGCTCGTTCTGCAGGGATATTGTTCAAAACTAAATAATGCAGTTCATACAAGTATTACATGAATATACTTAATGTATAATGAACAGCTTTAATTTGTGACTTAATTTATATTCTTAAAGTAACAAATGAGTCTTAGGAATGTTGACTAAAATAGTTGTATATAATGTATTATTGCTGTTGTTTGTTTACTTTATCAAGTCTAAAGTCTAATGTTTTGACTTTCATTGTATGCACTAAACCAGTCGAAATAGTCTTCAAGATGTCTTTTTGTGTTTTATAGAAGGAAATGCTACAGGTTTGGACGGATATGATGGAGTAAATTAAGTCCTTACATTTTTTTTTATTTTAATTTGGGAGCATCTCTACACCCGACTCAAGAATTATGACAATATTAGGCAAACTTTATCCTATTCAAGAACCTTCCATTTGGGGGCTTTCACAGTAAAACAACGCATTTGCTCTCTCATATAGGCCCACATGTACACAAACACACACAATCCTGGTCTCAGGATTACATTTAGATCCCTATCAGATGAACATGGTCGACGACTCATACACTCAGAAACGGCAACAGAAAGAGAGATTCAAGTTACACCTCAACAACTCCATATGGTCTAAAAATAAAATCTGGGGCATGAGCGAGTGGATGCCAAGCAGTGGGGGAAACGCTTGGCCCTTGAAACATGTACAAGTGACAGGTGTCTGTCACTGTAATTCAGGGCAAACTCACTTCAAAGTGAATATGAGAAACACCATCTCATTTCTGCCCCTGGTGGCCAGCATAGATGTCATCAATGGAGAAAAAAAAATAGATTCTGTAGGCTTTGCTTCTCATATGGGATGTTGACTTTAAAACATGGGTTTAGTTCTGTGTGTGTGTCTAAATCTGACAATTTGATGTTTCTGTCCTATTGGTTACTGTTGGAGATGTTTGGAGAAGAATTTATGGGATTCCACTATATTGCAGAATCCCTCATAACCAGTAAAGCTAGAATTTCAGCTACTTGTTTAGATAGGTTATCATTTCAAGAGTCTTAGTGGTATTGAGGTCCAATTTGTTGTTGCCACACCACAATGTAAGTCAATCCACTTCCCCACTGTAAAGATTTGCATCTCAATTAATATTGCAACCACTCAGAGTGGTAAACAGTGTGTTGGGAATGGTATACCACCATACTGTAGTTTCGTGCACTGCTACTCAGCAGCGCTGCATGACTAAACTGGGGTTCCCCCACAACAAAAAAGCAATACTCTGGGAAACACTTTTTGTAGTATGAGGTTATTTATACTGTGAACCATATGAAAATTGTATGTATACATGAAGCAACATTAAACCGCTACTTTTAGCATTCGACCAAATCACTATTTCATCTGAGAGTTAGGACATTTATACTCAAAACTAGATTAAAAATGCAAAGGATAACCATAGCGGTCAAATAATTATAATTTTATTTTTATGTAGTTTTTTTTTTTCACCAGTTATTTCATAAACAATACATTAAAAACAGTAATAGTGTGAAATATTACAAATTAACTGTTCTATTTTAATATATTTCATAATGTAACTTATTGCTGTGATAAAGCTGAATTTTCAGCAGTCATTACTCCAGTCTTTAATGTCTCATGATCCTTCAGAAATTATCCAAAAATGTATCAATATATATATATCAAAAGTGACAGTATATACAAAGTTACAAAAGATTTAAATTCAAAATGAATGCTGTTCTTATGAACTTTCTATTCATCAAAGAATCCGGAAAAAAAAAATGTATCATGGATTCCACAAAAATATTAGCAAAACACTGATATCCATAATTAACAAATGACCAAATCAGCATAATAGAATGATTTCTGAAGGATCATGTGACACTGCACGGCGCACATGAAAAAAAAGTACATTTAAAAAAATATTCAAATAGAAAACAGTTCTTTACATTTGTAACATTTCACAGTCATTACTCCAGTCTTTAATGTCTCATGATCCTTCAGAAATTATCCAAAAATGTATCAATATATATATCAAAAGTGACAGTATATACAAAGTTACAAAAGATTTCAATTCAAAATGAATGCTGTTCTTATGAACTTTCTATTCATCAAAGAATCCGGAAAAAAAAAAATGTATCATGGATTCCACAAAAATATTAGCAAAACACTGATATCCATAATTAACAAATGACCAAATCAGCATAATAGAATGATTTCTGAAGGATCATGTGACACTGCACGGCGCACATTAAAAAAAAGTACATTTAAAAAAATATTCAAATAGAAAACAGTTCTTTACATTTGTAACATTTCACAATATTACTTTTTTTATTGTATTTTTAATTTTTTTTTAAAAAACGCAGCCTTGGTGAGCATGAGACTTCTGTCAAAAACATTAAAACGTACTTATTATTCTAAATTTTTGACAGCTAGTGCGTGTATACTTTTTATACATGTATACAATTTATGTTCATTTATTTTTTAGTCCATACAATAAATGTCAATATGGTCCAGCATTTTTTCAGATCACACTGACTTTCATTGTACTGGCAAAAACAACCAAAACTTTCTTTAAAATATATATAACTTTGTGTTCCATAAAAAAAACAAAAATCATACAGTTCATGACATTTTCATTTTTGCCCGAACTATCCTTTTATGCACACAGTGGTCAGTATTGCAATCTCCATACCACACTTCCTTGATGGTTTTAATTTAGCACCGTAAAAGACAAAAATAAATGAAAAACTTGACACTTTTTGATTCTATTACAATGTTTAGTGATCCATTCCAAAAGCAACAGATACACTGGCCCTTTAAGAGTTAGACAGCACCAATACAGTTCAAATCTGCTAGAGAGCATGCACTCAAAACCAGAACAGCTGGTAGCCATTTGGCAAAGGCTGGTAATGTCCCAAATGTCAAACAAACCATTGAAACGCTTGAGAAAACAGACATCAATTCTCACCTCTTCTTTTTTTCTACAGACAAAACGGACAAAGATAACAGTGATCTAATACACTAGTTTCTGTTCAATGTAAGCACAGTGGCACAGGTGACAGGCAAACTAACTAACCTGTGTGACAGAAATGATAAAACTCAACATGGTTAGTCTTGAAATGAACCAATCAGGTCCTCTGATTCGAACACTCTGGAAGACAACTGGATACAAGAGGAAAATAACACTGAAAGCATAAATGGAAAAGTTGTGAGTGACCTTTAGATTTGGCAGTTTTCATTTCGGCACTTGCACGTGGTATGCTTTAATATTCTTCCCTGATTGAGGAACTAGATGAAAAAAAGCTCACAGTAGATACTAGTTAATGGCTTTGCAAGAATTACTGGGTTTTAGCTTTTATTTCTTCCAAAGCAACAGTTTCTAATGCAGACCAAACAAGGCCTGACTATTTAAAAAAATATATGATATACAAAAGAAGTTTCATAGTCATTTTCCCTCAATCATGGAAGAAATGTTTAGAAATATTAACATTAAAAGAATATTTCATACTGTAACAGCAATAATGTTGTATAAAATAATCAATATATCATTTAGACTCATATATTAATATTAGCCATGATAGAACCTCATAAATTAAAAGAACCAAAACCACTGAGGAACTACTTTTTGCTGTTCCTGTATAAATCCCAAAAAGTAACAAAATACAGTCCATACCTTGCTATTTCACAAGTGTCTCTTTCTCTCGGATCAGACGATGCATGTAGAGTTGGGTGGGGGGAAAAATACATAAACAGGACAGCAAAAGAAACAAAGATCCACAGACATGAGATGACATTTTGCTCTGTGAATTATACTGAAAAAGGTATAAACAAATACTTATGTCCTTTTCATAAAAGGACATAATTTGTAGTGTAATATTCTACCAACTCATCCTGTTATTAAGCAGTAGTGGTTTAAGGCCTCATTTCTAGTTGCTTTAGACAATAGCTATTACAAAATCGAACATTTGGTACTAAACAATTTAAACAAAAAAAAAATCATGTGACGTCAGTTTAAAAGGGCACATTTTGACGTAGCAGTGATGCTCATGAAGGCTGTGCCACTTCTGCGGTTTCATGAATCAAAACATATGAAAGGAAGGATAAGATTTCATTTCCTGTAATCTACAAACCAAACATCTTCACGCAGCAATGCGAGAGCAAGTGCTTTTTTCCGGTTCTTTCCATTCAGCTTGACACTGCTAAGCTAGTTGACTACAAGCAGGGATGGGTCCAAAAACAAGCTAGTCAATTAGTGAGGTTGACTAGTTTATCTAGATTTTTAGTACAACCATTACACATTCAAACATCCATTTGAGCATCTCAGTGGTAAGTGTTGTTTTTAAGATGCCATGTTTAATTAAAAATATTCAACTAACTATAAGACTGATTAGTGAACTAGCTGGTCAGGCCACCCACTAAGGGCCAGATTTACTGAACGGGGCATATTAGCGTGAGACCACAATCCCATAAAAAGGTAAAAACGTTGATAGGAGTGGAACGCTTTGCGGGTGATCTACTGACAATGTGCAAATTAATGTATACAGACGCAGCCTGATCGTTTCCAATGACCAACGCAATCTACCAAGAGGAGCACAAATTAGCAACTATCGCAGGCATGTCAAGTGCAAAATGGGTTAAGACATGACTTTTTTTGTGCATATTAAATAATGGCGCAAATACCAATAAACTGACTACTGCAAACCTTAGTAAATCTCATTGCATGATTCATTTAAACACTCTCCTCACAAATTTTGTCTAAAAGGGAAACTCCTACAAATTAATATGCAATAAGATCAGCCACAAAAATAACCGTATCCATGCCTTTTCATCACTAATTTTTCACTGTCTTCAGTCAATTCTGACAGTAGCCTCTTAACGCCAAAAGAGGGTTTGCACTGGTGCAAGCTGTTAGTAAATCTGACCCTAAATTGACACTGAGATCTTAGATTGACATCTAAAAACACTGAGATAATTCAAACTTTCATTCATGCATGCTACTTGTAACCTGACTGCACTTACAGAATCACTACACTTCCTTCTCTATATGGTTAAACCACATGACAACAAAGCAGCAATTTTCCTACATGCTGATTTTAGTCTGATACTAACAGTAATCATGACAATGAAAGCATGAATGATATGCAAATGAGACTAGTACAGTCCTTTCCTACCACAGGATTTGAGTCAACCAATTAATTCGAAATCGCAGACCTATTAAAAGAATTTTTGCGCTTATGTTCAACTAAATATAAGCCATTTGGTGTGGGATACTTTATAGGTTACTGTTATGTTGGCAGCTTGAATATCTATAACCAATGAAAAAGGGCCAGATCAATGGCTATGTGTATCTGATGAGTACGATGGGGCACACACGGCCAAGTCAGTTAAAGCTTTTGTGTTAAAGACTTCATATGAGAAAACATTTTTAACAAATCAGAAGTCACCTTCTCCCAAATACACAAAAACGGCATCAATATTACATCTCGGTTTAGTGGAGAAAAAAAAAAAAAAAGAATGGGAAAAAGACCAATATACATGACATGAAAATATTATTACAAAAGAGAAAGTGTCTGGTGAAACTCCAGAAGACTTAAGGCATTTGCCAAGACGAGTAAAGGCAGCTATAAGTTCAGGCTTTTAAAATGCGTGAACCATTTCCTTCTGAGCCCAAACACTCACAAGAAATATACAAAACTATTTGGTAACAAAAGTTTACTATATGTTATAAAACTGAAAAAGGTGAAAAATGTACCTTAGCTAAAGCTTATAAAATTATATATCAATAAAAATTATAATAATAATAATATTCCTTGGTCCGTAAAAACTATATTACTATAACTTTTCTTCCAAGCCTGGCGAAACAGTGCATTAAGCCCTTTAGTAGAAAACAACATCTCTCAAAGCAATTTCCAGCTTGCACTTACTTCGAAAAGGCTTTGTTTTGAAGAGACAGTATTTTTTTTTTTTTGATTGTTTTTTTTGTTTTCATGTAAGGCTTATGCATTGATCCTGTGGCATCTTGATCCACGGCACACATCACTTCTGTTGCCACTTCCTCTGACATGAGGAAACAGATTGAAAAAGAACCGCAACAAAGAGAGAGACAGAGAGAGAGAACAGAAAAGAGACATCTTCATTTGTTTTGTCCAGTCTTTGTGTGAAGTCTTGTCTCTCATTATTCTCTCTCTGTCGCACCGTTATCTGTTTTCGTGATCTGTATCCCATGAATCAAGGAAAGTCTATGTGTGGACGAATCACCATCTCTCACAAAGGCTCACTTACTCACACATGCAAACGCACATTGAGATTCCAAGGTTAGGAGACAGACATAGCCGAGGAAGAGGAGGATGAAGACACGCCTGTTGCCACGTATCCTGCCTGGCTGTCGATGGCTGACTGCAGCAGTAGGCTGGAGGATGAAGATGGTGAGGTGGAGGAGTTGCTGTTGGCCCGCAGTATGGCTCCCGCGGCGCCGCAGTGAGGACGCGGTCCTGGCTCCGGCGTGTAGGTAAATGTCAAAGCTGTGGAGTAGATGATGCCATCATTACGGACCAAGGTCACAGGAACCTGCACTGGCTGCCGAACCCAACGCCACCCCTCACGGAACGCAGAAATGTCGGGAACCACGCAGAGCACACTTTCGCCACACCTGCAGGAAAAAGAATGTGAAAGCATGAATTGCTGGCAATTATGTAATGGATATTCTCAATATATATGCAACGATTTTGCTCAAAGGAAAACATAAATAGAGATCAATTCAATACATCACAGGGTATCTGCAAAGTTAAAGCCGCCTTTCCACTATCTCCGACAATTGACAAGCCATAAACTGAAAGTCATTCATTTCCAATGAAGAGTAGTGCGGGAGCTGCGTAGAAATCCTATCATATGCGTATGTGGAAATTTCGGATCCGATTTGAGCTTCGGCTGCGTTAAAATATTTGAACTTCTGCGGCTAGACCGTATGCGACCGCCCGACCAGATGTGATGCATTTTAATCAAAACTATGAGCATGAGGCTAGAATTACCAATATTTTTCCACTTTAACAATATTCTGTAAACACCATTTCTGTAAAATAGCAGTTTAGAATAATTATGGCAGAAATAATTATTTTATCATTATTAAATCACTATTAATCTTTCTCTGTGCTGATGATTGTCCATGACGCCCCATCGTTGATCATTTCTTTGTTTGTTTCTTTGGGACAGGATGTGGCCTGAGAGTAGTCGGAAAATAGGCCTATTATAATTGTTTACCATTAAAAAGGCTACATTGCCTCAAAATGATTAAGATGATGAGAATTCAAACACGAATTTAGAGAACGTTATTGTTTTAATCAATTATAGTGCATTATTTCAGCCAATAAAATTTTAGAAGTACCAATGGACAAACCTGGAACTGAATTATCCTCTCTTGTGACAGGCAGAGGTACATCCTCTCTGTATCTTTAAGGTAGAAGGAACATTTATGTAGTTGGGACACAGGATCGTCAGCATCCATTAGCGCTGTCTGCTTGTCCACTTTACGAATGATCTACACACAGAAACACAACATTTCACCTCCTAAAAATCCTTGCTATGTAAACTGTTACACAAACATATTTGTACAAAGAAAAAAATAGGACGTTAATTCAGAGTCACAGCTATACATCATTCTTTGAACAGGACACAATTTCTTAGCCCAACCCTTTTAATAATGAACAGTCACAGTCATTCTGACTGATGAATGTTAAAGTGGATAATAGCTTACCAGTCGTGGAAGAGCCATGCCTGTCACAGAGCACACCAGCTTCACCGTCTGACCGTAATGGATATAACCGTCTCTGACTGTAAACTCTTCTCCCTCTGACTCATCATCATCCACTGGAATTCAAAATTACACATTATTACCAATCCATAAATAAACTAGAAAAACTGCATATTTTAAAATTTGAAAGACAAATACATCATTTTTACACATTCATTAATTAGATGTAATGAACTTTGCTTGTGTCCTTCCTGATGCACTAGGGATCAATGTCAAGTCTTGGTGCTGTTTTTAACATACTATATGTGACCCTGGACCACAAAACCAGTCATAAGTAGCAATTTGTAGCAATAGCCAAAAATACATTTAGACGATTGTGATAAAATACTCACATAGATGAATGTAGAAGGCTCCCCACTGTTGTGAACTAGCATGGAAGTTTCCCCCTTCCACATGAAGGTACCGCGTACTGACAGTCTGAGACCGCAAGCGGTTAAAAAGAGCCACCTTCGTCCCAGAAGCTATGCACACTATAAGAGACATAAAAAAATGAGACGAGTGAAAATTATGACTCATTTAGGGACACAAACAAGAAGTTCACTCACGGTCTGCATTCTTCAGCGACTGTTTCTTTTTGGAAGGTTTGGAGATGACCTTGATTCGTTTGCTGAGGAAGACACCGATATCCGCACTGTTCCCGTAGAACATTTTCACTGTAAGCATGAAGTGCTTCCGTTTGTCCGAGTCAGAAATGTACAACGTTTTTGCTGTGCAAAAATTCTGCAGAAGCAAAGCACAAAAGCTATGTCAGGAAAGGGATTTTTGAAGTTATTTTAGAAAGGCAGTTTCAATATGTGTAGCAATAAAAAAATCCATAAAGCACCTTGCCCTCCAAGTTGAGCTGCTGCATCTCTTGTTCACTGTTTCCAATGCCGATAAAGGCACAAGGCTGAGACTCCTGCTCCGAGCAGCCCTCTCTCTCCATCTGCTCCTTCTTTTTCTTCCAGCCACAACCCATCAGGTACACACATGGTGGAGGACAGAAGAATCTAATGAAATCAAAGAGAATCTGAACTGATTAAAGAACAATTCACCTGGATGCTTGTATAAGAAATTTGATTTTACACAGCCCTCCCTTCCTTCATTTACATGAAATGTGCACCAGTTATGTGTTAACTGGACTTCCCCAAAACTTGATTCATAGTCAACATAAAACTAAATCCGTTTAACTTCTGAAATGTGCCATATACCCAAGTTAAAACAGGATATTCAACAAGAAAAAAAAAAGTAGTGTGAGGCTTGACTATACCATAAACAGCCATTTTTATGACCCCATTAACTCCATTGGGGTCTATTTAAGTAAAGGTGTAAACTGGGTCCATATTCGTCAGTAATCAGAAATGCATGCGGACACATTCCAGAAAACAGCAAAAGACATCACCAACCATTACATAAATGCATTAATTCAGAAATTGAAACTTTCAGATGAAATCCAAACACAAGTGGTTACTGGAGACACATGTAAATAATACGTGTAAAGGCTAATGTGTCTCAGCTGACCATTTATGATAAAATCAGCCAAAACTGATGACAATGACAGTGACGATTCACATATACTAAACAGCTTTTAATTACTGATTAATTATCCAAGGTCCACAACACACAAAGTTAATCATACACGTTTACGCCTAAAATTCGTCACTCACCTTTTTTCATTGCCGTATGATTTTTGTGCGACTTTTGCATGCAGTATGAGTACTGTCTGATCTCCTCTCTCCTTCAAGTAGTTGCGCATTGCCTCTCTGCAAAACCAAACAATACAATAGAAAAATGTATTTAAGATGTAGTTTCCTAATAAATGCTTAAGCATTACACGTGAACTTTACTGTGCACTTACTTTGTTAAACGTTTTGGCTGAGGGAGCTCCCCAAATTTCCTACAAAAAGAAACAAGACAGTCAAGACACACTTCAAACATCACTCTGATTTACACAACAAAATAGCAATAATGCTGGAAAAACAAAACTGTCACATCCAAGTTATCTGCCTACCAAGACAGCATTTTTGAGCAGGATAAACAAGTTCAAGCGTGCATAAGAAGTCCCAATCTGCTGTCTATTAAGACAGCTCACTGGGTTTTGAGAATATACCTATAAGTTGAAATACATAATACCATTTTACATATTAATGACGGGACGCTACAAATACACAATGTTAAAGCTAAAAGTAGTTTAACTAACAAGTCTGACAAAGAGAACTTTTTAAATCCTCTTGAAAGCTCCCAGTTTCTATTATGGACTCACTAGACTAGCTAACTTGGCTGGCTAACATCTGCTAACCTGCCCCTTCTCTGTCTTGTACACCAACTCACAAGTTGGCTCAATTTTAATACATTTTTTAAGATTAAATTAACGTTAAGTTAAAGTTTCAAAACACGCCGTCAATACAACTTTACTGTGTTTATAGTTAAAGATTTGTTCTCCACAGTATTCAGTGTTTATGGAAAACTGCTGAAAATCCATCAGCTAACTAACGTTAAAAGCTAAGCGGCTAAGTGAATAAAAGAGCCCATCGTTGAAAATCTCAAAAACCACACAGAAGTACGCCGAAACGGGCCACCAGCGCAGAGAAAAGCGGCCACGGGTGTAAAGAAATAAACCAAAGCAAGTTATCTTGACTAAACAGACAAAACTTATTTTAGCTGTGACTTTTCCATGCCCCGTCCGTTGATAATTTCGCTGCTTACCCTGTCACAACTAAGCGCGGGCCGTGAGAAAAAGATTTCTAGAAAGAAGGAAGCCAGGGGACTAGGGCACCTGCACCAGGAAACAGTGATCTGACGTGGTGGGGCAGTTAAAAAGGATGTTATTAAGTCTTTAAAAGTTAAGAGTATAATAACAAGTTTAAGTTTTCACCTCTTTCAATAGTATACGTTCCAGTAATCATTATGAAAGCACGTATAAATAAATTTTAATCTACATATTATGTGTGGTCTAATTAATGCGATAGATCTGCGATACCAACTAAAGCACTTTCACATCACCAGATGGCAGTATTGTTTCACTATAGAAATGCGTTATACCACACTGGAGAAAAACGCTTAGAGGATTTACTACGAAACAATTTTCACTCAGAAATTGCTAGTAAATCTCACAAATAACGACAACTAAAACAGCAAGTAGTAGCACATTGAATTTCATTATATTACATTTTCATTACATATAGGGAGGGCGGGGTGATTTGAGCCTGTGGGGAAGTTGAGCCACCCCTTGTTTCTAGACAACCTTAAACAAAATTGGTGATATGACCACACATATTTGAAGAGTTAACCATTTTACTGACCCTGTGATGGAGAGAGGCCCATTTGAGAATAATTTGTAACTACATTTAGGTTCAAAAAACTGTTTTTTTGTTTTTTTTGCTGTTCAAAGTGATTTTTTTTTTATGTTCAAGGACTCATGCTTCTTGTGTCTGAACAATTACAGACAAATCTGAAAAAATATCACACAAGTGTTTGTGGTTTAGGAAGTTAGAATATGAGGCTATACTCTATGCATGATGTTAGCTCTAAACTGCTGGATACAAGTTTGTTAAAATGGTCGGAGTGGGGTAATTTGAGCCGACAGTCTTGGGGTAAGTTGAGCCAGTGGCTCACCCCTTCTTATGATTATAAAGTATAATTTTACTGTAATTCTACATGATATTTCACTAATTTTAGACCAAAATTGTTTTTATTTTGTTCTTTGTTTTGAACTTGATTTTGTTCTGAAAATTTTAAATCGGCCTTGTTTATGAAAATTGGCCATTGATGTTTATTGAAACTGTATTTTCTCGCAACAATTATAAGTGGGATGTTGAGTATATTAGCCCAGTTCTGTAAGGTCAACTGCAGTCAGTTTTTTTTTTTTTTATTCTTCAATTTGAACTTTATTTTGTTCAGAATTTTAAAAATAATTTAAAATAAATTTTATTTTAATTTTCAAAGTTGTGAACTGTATCTTTAAATAAAACTTTTTAGAAGTCATCCATCCATCCATTCCATTATCCAAACCTATGTCCTTATTAGGTTAGTGGGGAGCTGGATCCTAACCAGCGTCTTGAGCCACAGGCGAGGAAAATCCCTGCATGAAAGGCTAGTCCATCTCAAGGCTCACACATAGATTTTAAGAAGTCATTTTTATTGATTTTCTCTTCTTTTGATATACCATGAATGTTCAGTTTTACTTCAGCATAATCAATGGCACAGTTTAACTCCATGTGGCTCAACTTACCCTCCCTCTAGCTCAACTTACCCCTCACTGGGGGCAAGTTGAGCCAAGAGACCACTTTTTTTTGGAAAGCCATTAAAAAAAAATCAATGAAAAAGCACAAAAAATATAAACTGATTCTAGCTGCTGTATAATGTTGGCAGGCAGATTCGACAGGATTTCAAATGTCTTAAGGAATAACAAGTTCGCTCTTTATCTTGATCTTATCATGATGTCACTCAATGTTCCCAAAGAGTACGAGTGAACAAAAAGCAACACAAATTGCTGAGATCAAAATCTTGTATATCACTAATTGTCCCCAGCTTACTCTTCAGGAAACCTTGCACTTGGACTTTTGTCTCTTTGGTATTAGTCAACAACATGGCAATATATGGACCCTTTTTACAGAGTGTTATGACACATTTCAACAGTCATCAGCATCATAAATCCATGTTTTTTTTTCTTTCTTCTGACTGCCGTTATCAATCACTCTCCTCTTTTTGAAAGATATGAAAACACTATCATGGAGTGAGTTTCTACCAGGCTATACAGAAGCTATTTACACCTGTTTGCAAGGAAAGAAAATGAAAAAAAAAAAAAGTAATGTCAAAACATTGCTTTGGTCAACAACTTATTACTAATAACTAATAAGTTGCAAATCATTAGTTATAATTTGGTGAGACATTTATTTTGAAACACATGTAACAACTTGCCTAGCATGCTAAATGCCTTGTTCAGTTGTCAGTTAAAATCTACCTTCATTATATGTTCACTTGTTTATTAGGTAATAGTTTTAGTTTTAGTATTAGCACTGATACACATTCAAAAATAAATAAATCTGTCTTATTAAAACCCAGTCACTAAACCCCCTTTCATTACTCAACAAATTCAAACATGTAAAATGCAAATACAAAAAAAAATTTTTTTTGCAATCTATAGCCATGGTTTGTAATCAGAAGGTTGCTAGTTTTATCTAAACAAGGAGCTAGTCATGATCATCACTGATCCCACTAAACCCCAGGCCCTTGACCCAGCAGGCTGACCAGTAAGAAGCCTAGGGCACTATGGATAATGTGCCTGCTAAATGACTACTTACATAATGATTTTATATTTTGCCCTTCATTAATTGAACCGCAATAATAACAAGAGTTCATTAAGTCTTAAAGTACATTTTAATTACTTAACATAATTTTTAATTACATAGCATAACGTTGCCTTAAAATGACATCACATTTTAAGACAATCTGATATCTTATGGGCATACATATACTGTACATTTAAACTATTTATAAGCAATTAAAAATATATGGAAATATACGTGATCAAAATCTGATCTGGAAAAAGATCAATGCCACTGCCTGGTACCGGCCATTTATACAAATATGTATAGATGTATGGTAAGTTATTTGTATGGTATTTGAATTTGGGATTTCAGTCAACTGTCCCTTTAATGGCATTGTAGTCATTTAACTCTCAAGTTACATTAATAATATGAATATATGCCTTCATATATAAAATACAATAGGCCACAAAGATCAGAAAGACAATACTTATGTTGTGTACATTGTATGAATTTGCAGTATTTTCCTGGCTACTAGTACTTTCACAGTAATTTTTACAGTAGTAGTTCTACAGTTGATCACAATTAAATGACAATAATGTGACTTCAAAGGCAATGGAAGCAGCAGGAAATATTCATGTTGTGTACACTGTAAAACCCTGTGTGATTTGCTGTACATCCGTGGCTTCTAGTACTTTCACAGTAATTTTTACATTAATCAACTCATCACAATTACACTGAAATACCTTGACTTCAAAGTGAACAAGAGCAGGAAATGACAGAGATGCAGAGATTTTTTACGGTAAAATTCCGGCAACCACAGCTGCCGTTTTTTTACCGTAAATTTTACGGAATTTTTTTTACAGTGTATAATAGATTTTGTTTGTGTGATAGCTGGCATTTATTTCCACTTAGAGGTATTAAAAACAAATGTATGCTTTTCATGTTGACACAAATAAAAGAACAATCGGAAAATCTCACAATATATAACATTAGATTATATATTTAACAATAACATGTACAAAATCCTGTACAAAATAGCATCTTTGTATAAAAATATGAAGCAAAATAAATGTAAGACTTTAAAAATAAATGGTAAAATTAAATAATGAAATTAAATTGGTTTCCTCTTTATTCTTGCTCTAAAGTCCACTGATATAACCTGTCGACTCCAGGTATTAAAAATCAAAACCAGTTGGATGAGTTGGATATGTTCAGTAATAACCTATAATGCTCTGTTTCACTCTATAAAGAGGTTGCTTTGAGGATTTCACAACTGTCTGCCATTTTCTTGGCCTCCTTGATCTTTGTCATATTGGTCATTAATTTTTACATTAATCAACTCATCACAATTACACTGAAATACCTTGACTTCAAAGTGAACAAGAGCAGGAAATGACAGAGATGCAGAGACTTTCCTCTAGAATAACAATGATTATCTGTGTCAACATTAATTCCTCCTTGTTTATATAAGAATATAATATTTCTGTACATACTAGAGTAAAACATGTCTACAACATTATGCTCAGACATAAAATTCAGTCTTACATTCTCTTAACACAGTGCAACCAGTTGTGTTTTGTAACACTTAAAATTCTGAATACAGTAATTTACCATTAGAAAGAGGATAATAGACAGATCAGAGTTAAAATCTGATTTAAAACATGTTTTACACTGTAAAAAATGACCGTGAATTTAACGGTAAAAGACTGTAAAAATGCTACCCA